CTCGCATGACCCCTAATAGTTATGTTTCTAGAAGCTCGCTGGCACGAGTATACAACCCTACTCCATCAAGGGTCGTTCATCTAGAGTCATGGAAAGGTATCCGTGACCGACGGCTAGACGTGCCTAATTGCGAAACTAACTCACCGCATAATAGGCTTCCCACCTCGGGAGTTGTAAGGAAAGACCAATCTCGCAAAGCTGGTGTACGCGGCGCGAAGATTTGTGATTTGGTTGTTCAAAGTAGTGTGACCTCCCTAAACTATCCGAACCCGTGGGGGTTTATTATGGGAGCTACTTATTACTTAAGTAGTCCGCGATATATGTTATGACGTGTCGATAGTAATCGCAAAGCCGAAGAGGGTAGCTAAGAGCTGCAGTTGGGGAGCATCAGCCGCCGGCATGCATATCGGAGTATACAAACTATAAACGACACGACGCACCACGAGGGATACCAAGGTAACAGAAGTCAATTCGAACCAGCCATATAATACGCAACCTTGGATCGACGCTTGTTGGTATCTCCAGAAGCGACAAACTCCGGACAAGACCGTCAGGCTTGCAGATGCGTACCGGCCAGTAGGCAGCCAAGGGATTTCCAACAAGTGAATAGCCGGAACTTGAATCTCGTTGTAATATACCAACTATGTGATAAGGACTCCCGTAAGCGTTAACATAGATGGCGTTCTAATATAACCTAGGAATGTGCGCTCAAGGGCTACCTCGCAAGGGCGAACGGGTTAGCTGGTCCGCGCCAAGGCAATAATGATATGATGCACTCTGGATTGCATTTATGGCTATCAAAAGTGTCCCCACATGTGCATATCCCATTTTAGATGGGAGTCTTTTCATCGGAATGTCGAATGGTCCTCCTGATTGAATCCGTATCGATGAGTCCTAAGAGCTGTATTAAGAGCCATAGGACGTTGGGATAAGATTGATAAGCACCACGTGCGTAAGAAAGTCAAGGCGTAGCTGGATACTTGGATCCGAATTACGGACGGCACAATGCTGCATGGGAACCGAGTTGCATTAGTCGGTCAGCCAACCGCTAAATCGAAGCAACACGAGAATAATGTGACCTCTAAGCCTCCGAGTATCTAGCGAGGCCGTATATGGTAGGAGTGATGCCCTTCTCTTCAGCCACAATATGTAGGCTGCAGGCAAAATATATTAACTAGCAGGCCACGGATAAAACTTCCGAGCCAATCCGGACACAATTTGGTAGCCATTCATGCAGCTAGCGAGTGTGATATTTGCTCGATGAAAAAGTAAAATACCGAGATGAGATTAATAAACCGGTCGAACATACCGAAATGTTCACAATCGGCTTTATAGTCTACCACGAGAATGACTTGGTCTTCTTAGGGGGTTACCAGCGAGCCTCGTTCATAGGAGATCAGTTCGTATCAACATCGGCTATCTTCTGAAGAGGTTCGAGAGGATGGAACAGTGGTACGGGACGGGAAGTTGATCAGCTCCACCCCTTGTTCTCCTGCATGTCGAGGTGAGTCGCGCCTGGTTCGTGGTCGTGACGACCCACTATGCGATCGAGAATCGTAACGACTAAACTCGTTTCTAGAACGAATCTGTGCATCTACCTGCCTTGTTTCATATATATGCCGAAGCCAAGTCGATCAAAGCAACGGTGCTAATGCGAATATGACGACTCATATGAAAGCGAGAGGATTGCTAAGACTGCAAAGCTAATGAGCCTCATCACGGCTCACCTTGTCCTTTATGGTGTACAGGCGTTACTATCGAAGCTTCGGCTTGATATATTACCTAAGGTGACAACCTTACTATTCAACTACCACCTATTAGCATGGAATATAAGGAACTATTCAGATATTGTGAGCACGGTAGGCCTCATCATAACATCTAGGAAATAAAGTTGAGGCTAGTTTGATTATAACGCTTCCCTACGGTTTTAAGTATCTTGTGCCTACGGTAGAGCTGAGTAAAGACAGTACATGCTGACAAAATGCCCGTGAGTTAAAGCGGAATAGGGCCGGGGTGGGGAAAGATCTTGAGGGGCGCACGACCCTAAGGCCTAAGGACCGTCTAGAACTAGTGTGGGTCAGACGGCCCGCCGAGGAGAGTCGGGTTCGAGCTTCATAGCTCCAAGGCGGATCTCGGCGCGGGTTGCGTCATCGAAACATATATCAGTTGGTCAATCCTTTGAGATAGACTCTGTAACGCACTAGCCGACAGATTAGCGAGGTGTATAATAGCTAGGTGAAAAAGAAATATAAAAAAATAGTGGCATCAAAGATAGGTGAAGATACGCCATGACTATAAATTTTGAGCGTCCGGGAACTCGGGTAAAAGTATGTGACCCCCAGATAATTCCTACCTACCATGGGGTCTTAAGTCGTGCGGGTCGGGCTGTCAGAGTAGCCAAGACTTGGAGTTATCGATCGGACTTCCAGAATAAGACTTGATCAACCTTAGGTTCGACAAGGAACCACCGTTGTACACCTAGGTGAAGAAGTATTAGATTTAATTTATCTGCGTTTAAGAAAGTATGCAGAAGATCATTGGTAGATAGGTCATCCATAATGCTGGACTACTTCTCTCGGAAATCGGAAGCATTTTACTCATCGTAATCTCTAATTATGCTTAAATCTATACGAATGTGAGGACTTGACAGGGCCGAATCGATCGGGTATGGTGGAAATAACTTCGGTCACAAACAATTGAGTTAGTTTTGTTTCTGGATCCGAAGAAGGTCCAGTTGAAGAGCTTGGTATAGTATACCGAGACCCGACTAAGGTAAGGTGCTTCACGTGGAAACGGACCCTGTCTTGCAGGACTTATTCACATAGTATATAGCATACGTCTGAATGGCGCCGTCCTGCATAGTGTACATGTGCATATTGTAAGCATGAATGTGGATATCCCCATGTTTAGTCTAGGGGTAGGATACTTCGATCCAGATTAGGATAACGAAATGTATAGACTTGACTCGTCGTCTTGAGATTTGAAAGATATTATGGAGTTGCAAAAAAAAAATAAGGTAAAACGTTACTATTGGACAATCGGCGCTTCCTTCCTAGTCTTTCCCAATTGGGGTGCTTCCGGGCCGTGAACCCGATACGTTAATCGGGTCACATAAGGTTCATTAGCTGTGGATCTTTCCCACTTAGCGGAAAGAGCCATCGATTACCACTGGTAAAACCACCTCAAACTTTTCCTAACAGAGAAATCCTGCCTTTCAAATGCATGATCACCTACATATGTTAAGTACATGCATACAACATTGATGTACCTATAAACATATGTACGCACGCTACCGGATCTTCAACGCATTCACTATGCGATGGTTGATAATATGGGTCTTTCAGACTCCTTGACTACCTACTTAGGAAACCATCATTCTCAACTCAGCGCCGCTCTGGCCTACCGATATGGGATCTGGGATCTTGGGGGGGTTTCTCATAAGATTGCATCATGTTTGTCCTCGCCATTAACACGTAGCCAAGATCCATATAGATCCATATCGTTCAAGCCCGGACCAACGGAAAGTGGATGCTGGTCTGATATTCATAATATCTGGCTCTTCGGTATACATTGAGCCTCCTAGTCGCTCTTGGAATCTCTTATGAACGTACCGTTTTATCGGTTATTGACTAGCTGAACCGGTTAGGGATAGAACGGCCGGCTGCGTAGACTCCAATGCCTTACTTGAGAAGGACTTGCAGTGTCAATCAGTATCCCGAGGCTCAAAGCGATCCGATTCGCTCTATACTCCGTTCGACTCCTCCGGCGGCCTTGTAGACGGCCAAATCTTTTAGGTGGCTGGGTCAGAAGTGAGGTAACGCTTCAACCACCCATCCGGTTCGCCTAGGAAGCGTTGCAATGACCGGCGAATATATGTCGTGTAATAGAGGAGGGTTACGACTTATAAACTCGCAGGGTCTGTGGATCTCCTCCTAATCTATAACCGTTCTACCGTGATATACACTAGCTAATCACAGTCACAGTCATATTTCCACTTGAGGGAAAGAAGAGTATATAACCAGGAACCGTTTGCCTGTGGCTATCTCTCCACCCATTTTTTTCAGTTCGTGATCCGCTGCTGGGATCTTGGCTCGCTTGACCGCCTTGTCCGACATACCACCCCTTGCCCCCGTACTCCACGTCCGAATGGATAAGACCTCCCGTAGCGGCCCCCCACTCTATTCGCGCGACACCAACGTGATTGCGTGGGCGTGCTTTTTGTTTCGTCTTCTCTCAAGTACCCTGAAACAACGCTCTTCCGGTCCGTTCCTACCGATGTGGGTATTTCCTAGTTAGGACCAGCAATATAGTGTCCCTCGTAGACGGACTTGTCAAGTGACAATGGTTGCACTAAAAGCAACCCAGAGATCACGTCGACTCCAGGACGTACACTCTATCTCCACTCCTCACTTCTCGGCGGCTTTGCGGCATATGCCATTGATCGAAACTAATAAACCTATTGATAACATGTCGATCCTTCGACGGCCTACTCGACTTGTGGGCGGTGGCCCTAAGACGTCCGTTATGGGAAATACCACATTGTCCTCCTAGTCAGTATCTCGTGCATAGTACCATTCGAATTCTATTACCCCTGCCTTCGTATGTACCGAAGGTCTCATCGTATACTTTGATAGATAGCTGCCATCGTCTTAGCCGTGACGTCGTATTGCCTCCTCCCATTGATACATAAGTAAGATCTCCTCGACCTTGGCATTCGGTCCTGAAGCTATACTTAACTCATATAACCTTCGAGATTCCCCTTATACTTCCGGTGAAAAGATTACCTTGTGACCGGGTTCGTCGACAGACTTCGCTTCGCCCTACAGGGCCTTTTCTTGACTGATATCCTAGCGTCTGCTCGACGTATTTGCAAACTCTTAGCTCATTATTAACTAATATCAGTAACTTTCGAAGACATAAAGGCTCGCTGTGGATCACGTACGACTATTTTCCTGGAAAAGCTGGTTATAATAATAGACGTCTTCAGCCATTATTCGAATATGGAGCATATTGAAGACGCGCAGTTTTATGGGATAGACCCCAACGCATCACCGTATGAGAGCGTCGGAAGCAACACGACACCAGATACGGAATTCTCTCCTCCCGGAAGTCCATTTCCAAAAGCTACCACCTCTAAAAATTGCCGGTTGCTAGCTAGACAGAAGCTAGCCCAACTGGACCTCGAGGAGAAGGTATATAATTAGAGAAATTCGATGCTGTCATATTGCTAACTTGTCAAGGTATCGCTACTTACTGCTGCGGACTTTTGGCGGACAAAGTCGATACCGTCTAAAGGCATCCCAGCTATCAAGACGAGCGATGGCCCTAATGGCGCCCGGGGAGGCATCTTTGTTGGGGGTACCAAGGTTGGTCAAAGATCTCGAGGTTATAAGACCTTGCTAATAATTATCCTTGCGTAGGCAGCCTTGTTCCCGTGTGGTATCTCGCTTGCGGCTACCTGGAACAAAGATCTGCTATACACAGTTGGTCAGCATTTAGCCGATGAGGTCAGGGCCAGGTCGGCCAATGTGCTTCTTGCTCCCACAGTCTGCATGCATCGTCATCCTCTCGGCGGCCGAAATTTCGAATCTTTCTCGGAAGATCCGCTCCTTACTGGCAAGCTCGCCTCTAGGTATATACAGGGGCTGCAGTCTAAAGGAGTCGCTGCGACCATTAAGCGTTCGTTACCACCTACCTGCTAGCATTCGGAACTTCGACTGATAGTCAGACAGATTTCGTAGCAAATGAGCAGGAAACTCATCGGCTTACTATCGATTCAGCGATGATGGAACGTCCGTTGAGAGAGCTGTATCTTCGGCCATTCGAGATAGCTGTACGAGAAGCGAACCCTTGGGCCGTCATGTCTGCGTATAACCTAATCAACGGAACCCACGCCGACATGAATAACCACACGCTCAAAGATATACTGCGAGGAGAATGGGGTTATGACGGGTAAGTCTAATTTCTATCCAAGTTAAGATCGATGGCTGATATTTGGGATTCTTAGAACCGTCATGTCCGACTGGGGCGGTGTCAATTCGACTGTTGAGTCGATAAAGGCAGGGTGTGATATAGAGTTCCCTTTTTCGTCCAAGTGGCGCTTCGACAAGGTCCTAAAAGCCATCGACGATGGTCAACTTACGATTGATGATATAAATATCGCCGCAGAAAACGTCTTGACTCTCGTCGAACGCACCAAGGGAGATGATATGTCGGCAGAAGAAGCTGAGCGTGAAGACGACAGAGAAGAGACGAGGATGTTGATTCGTGAAGCGGGAGCAGAGGGTCTAACTTTGTTAAAGAACGAAGGGCAGATTCTGCCACTCAACCCTAGAACCACCAAAGTCGCGGTCATCGGCCCGAACGCCAACCGGGCCATCGCCGGCGGTGGAGGTAGCGCTAGTCTTAACCCTTATTATAACACGCTTCCGCTCGATAGCATTATGGCAGCGGCACAACAGGAAGTCGTATATGCCCAAGGATGCCACATTCATAAATGGCTTCCGGTCGCGTCGCCCTTCTGTACTGACAAGTCGGGCAAGCCGGGTGTGACTCTTGATTGGTTTAGGGGAGATCAGTTCCAGGGCAACGTAATCGTCACACAGAGAAGGACGAATACCGATCTTTTCCTATGGGACTCCGCACCACTGGCCCAGCTCGGCCCCGAATGGTCAGCTATAGCGACGACTTATATAACACCGACGACTACCGGAAAGCACACGATCAGTTTTATGAGTGTCGGTCCTGGAAGGCTGTACATAGATGGAAAGCTAGCTCTCGACCTCTGGAACTGGACGGAGGAAGGTGAGGCGATGTTTGACGGTTCTATCGACTATATGGTCGACGTCGATATGCAAGCTGGAAGGCCAGTACAGCTACGAGTGGAGATGACGAATGAGCTTCGACCAATCGCCAAACAGAAGATTTTCAACATGACACATAAATACGGAGGTTGCCGTCTCGGCTTCAAGGAGGAAGATCAGGTCGACTATCTTCAGCAAGCTGTAGACGCAGCAAGAGAAGCAGACGTCGCCGTCGTTATTGTTGGGCTCGATGCCGAATGGGAATCCGAAGGATATGACCGAAAGACGATGGACCTCCCTTCCGACGGAAGCCAAGATCGTTTGATCGAGGCTGTCGTAAAGGCTAATCCGCGAACGGTTGTAGTCAATCAATCCGGCTCACCGGTAACCATGCCTTGGGCGGACCAAGTACCGACCATCATCCAGGCTTGGTATCAGGGCCAAGAAGCTGGAAACGCGTTAGCAGACGTCTTATTCGGGCGGCGGAACCCCAGTGGTAAACTCCCAGTAAGTTATGCAGTCCTCAATAACCCATCGATCTTGTCGACTAATTATAATAGACAACTTTCCCTCGGCGAATCGAAGACACTCCCGCGTACCACAACTGGCCCGGCGAAAACTCACGTGTTCTATACGGTGAAGGCATATACATCGGATATAGACACTACGATCGGACGAGCATCGCACCCTTGTTCCCGTTCGGTCACGGCCTCTCATATACGACGTTCGAATATGGCCGACCGTCCCTTAGCCGGAGGACACTGACGGAGTCGGCACCAATTCACCTAATCATGGCGGTCACCAACACCGGAAGCGTAGCTGGCTCAGAGACGGTCCAGATATATGTTAGAGACGACAAGTCGAGGCTGCCTCGCCCCGAGAAAGAATTGGTAGCGTTCGAGAAGGTATCGCTCCAGCCAGAAGAAACTAAGCATATCATCATCCCGCTGGATAAGTACGCAGTTGGATACTATGATGACTCAGTTCCGGCATGGATCGCGGAGGAGGGCACATTTAAAGTGCTGATAGGGGCGTCGGCGACTGATATCAGGTGAGCATCCCCCCACCCCTCGCTTAGCGATCTCCTCCCTACGACCTACCTATCTCGTTGACTCTTATTGACAATCACTAACCGGTTTAATCTATAGACATTCGATCCCGTTTGATGTTAAAGAATCGTTCACTTGGACATTTTAATTCTATGCTCTCTTTAGGCATTAGCAACATTACCCACTCGGCCTATTCAGGCTTATGTAACTTATTTTGGTTCACTCTTTACGCGCGTAGTAAGGGCGCTATGATACTGCGCATACGGGTCTTTGCTGGATACCTTTGATATCCCTACATGGCGATTTGGCGTGGGCATAATGGCGTATTCCCCGGACTTTATGAGATTCCCGTCTGGAGTGCTCTTATCAGAAGAGCGCTCCCAGGCATGCTGACATGAGAGATATCGGATTATACTGGTACACTCTTTAACCACGACGGTTATAAACCGAATAAGTAGTTGTACACGAATATACTTGCTTCTCTACGGAGAGAATATCGAATTTTAATTTATTGTCTCATCGCTTAACATTAACATATCGTGAGCCATTAAACACCTGAGGTTTTGGTGTCGTAAATATTGCCACATATTCATATACTGGAGAAGAGGCAAATTAGTGAACAGGTTTTTCAAAAGAAACCTAGGGGATCTTCCATAAACATCCAACTTTGATAACATGGTTCCTTCGGGGTTAAAAAGTTCAAGACAAGATGATGTTGATCATTGACCTAGTTATTCTCTTTTAAAGATGTCTTAGAAGGGAGTAGATTGTACATTTGTATATTGGGATAACAGCATATTTGATACTATTTCCGTGTTGGGGCCAATATGCCTTTAAACGTTATCCGAGCTAGATTTAGATCTGGACCGTGCGAAAAAAGGGGGGCGCATGGACGCATGGGCGCAGTAGCTGGCAGTCCCCACATAAAAAATAAAGTTATAGCGTATCATTTTAAGGTAACACCAAGGGTCCATCTTTCCACTAAGATTTGGCGACGCTACACGTTTTTAGAGACGTTAACGTTAATACCTTATTACATGTTTTTCTGTCTAGTACAAGTCCAACTTGCTACCGTAACCCGCTACTTAGTCTATAATTCTCTAGAATAGGGTCTAAAGCGCCCTTGATTAATATTATTATTTACCTACCTCGGAATATCTAACTTGAAAATTCCTACGAAATACGAAATACGAAATACAAAAGGAGCTAACAAGCTGTGATCCCCACGGACCAGTATACAGCTACGTACCCGCCTATGGCTACCAATGTCGATCGCAATGGTGCCGCCTTATAGCAACGGCAACGGCTACGGCTACCCGTCGTCTTCCCTGCCTACATCTTCCTCCTATGATTACGGCTACAGGAATAATAACGAACCCCAATCCATCTGCGACGAGATACTCGCTTGTTTCGGAGTTATGTTGGGGCAATTCTGGGGATACATAAATGGACGAGGTCGACAAGTAGCTTGGAGCTGGGTTATGAAGGCAGCGCATCAAATTAGGAAGAATATGACCCGGCAACGTCTCTTGAGCTTCCCGCATCTGCTCGTAGCTCTCTGGATACTTGTTATACTGTGGGGGGAACGCTGGGCATTCGCAAATCGAATACGGAGTTGCGACTGGGACCATTGGGAAGATTGGGTAAGTTCAAGATATTAAGAAGCCTCAGGGGGGAGGGGGGGCTCTTCATATTGGTCTAGAAGCGCAAAGCAAAATCATTAACACATTACAATTCTATAGCCAGCTGGAGTAACTCCGCATCGATTAATATTCGTCGCCGATCCCCAAATTATAGATCCTCACTCCTACCCCGGTCGCCCGTGGCCCCTCAACCCCCTCACCATGACCATAACCGATAACTATATGCGGCAATCATATATACAATTACAGAAGCAATTACGTCCAGATACTGTCATCTTTTTAGGAGACCTTTTTGACGGTGGAAGAGAGTGGAAGACGAGAAACGGGGACTTCGAAGATCCAGAATGGGCGAAAGACCACCGGCCAGCCGAAGAGAGAAAATATTTGAAGGAATGGAATAGAAAATACGGGGATAATTACTGGCTTCAAGAGTATGCGAGGTTCGGCAACATATTCTACGACAAATGGAATCTTGGGGGTGTTTTCCCTGGCCCGGGACAGCGGGGACGAAAACTCATCTCAGGTTTACCTGGGAATCACGATTTAGGTTTTGGAGCTGAGGTAAAGGTTCCCGCAAGGCATCGATTTAATGCATATTTCGGAGAGATGAACAGGGTTGATGTCATCGGAAACCACACTTTTGTGTCTGTAGACACACTGTCTCTGAGCGCTAGTACTTCAAGCATGAGAGGCCAAGTCGATCTACAGCCTATCTACGGTCCAGTCGAACAATTTTTGAAAGAAGTTCAGGCGACGAAGCGAAGGGCTGTTCAGAAGGAGTTGCGGTTTTGGAGGGGTGAAGTAGAGGAGCTAGCTTTCGAGCACAAAGTCGAAGATATCGAAACAGCAGACTATAGTAACTTGCCGACCATAGATCCAGGAGAGGGTGCACCTGATCTCCCCACCGTCCTCTTAACGCACGTACCTCTATACCGAGATCCAGGAACACCCTGCGGCCCGATGAGAGAGCACTGGCCTCCGGCAAACCCACCCAAAGGCCAGACAGGCCCCGTAATCCCGGATCACCGAAATGCCATTAGCGTCTCAGGCGGTTATCAATACCAGAATGTACTAGATCCCAAAGATTCCGAAAGGCTGATCAAGAGCATCGGCAACGTTATACATGCCTTTTCCGGAGATGATCATGATTATTGCGAGGTGGTACACCTACCGGAGCAGGGAAGCGTCCGCGAGATCACGGTCAAGAGTTTCAGCATGGCTATGGGGGTGCCGACGCCGGGTTTCCAGATGGTTTCTATGTACAACCCCATTGATGATAAGGGAAATCCTCTTCCGGGCTCCCCAAAGACTACACTGCAAACTCACCTCTGCTTACTCCCACAACAGCTCTCGACCTACATGACGTACGCCGCCCTTGGCGTGTTAACGGTACTGATACTCGTAGCGCGCGCCTTCCTCCTCCCCGTCTTCAATCTTCAACCATTCGCCTTTGAACCTGTTCAACACCCGTCATCAGCATTACTCCCAATATTCAAAGCCAAGACCGAAGGTGACGATAGGTTCGCTTCCGACATGACGCCAACTTCGTCAAGGACATCTTCGTCAAAGTTCCCCTCGGCCCGCGTGTCGTCCACAAGACCACGCGGCCAATCTATAAATAACGGTCTAGCATCACAAGCACGCGCCGCTTCACCCAATACCAAAGCGAAAGCTAACTCCGGGAAATGGGGATGGGGTCAGAATAAGGGCCCTCGCATAGAAATTAGGAGGGATGCTTATTACGACGATAAAGAACGCAGCAGTGACACGTGGAAACCGGCGTCGCGGTCGCGAAATACGCTGGGAGTCGTTGGTAGGGAGATATGGACAACGACCTGGCGCGTGGTGTGGATGGCGTTACTATTTTTCGCGTACCTCATGTATAAGGGGTAAGGTTGAATGATGGAATTGTGTTTATACTGTGTGATGGCTTCAATACCTAGGCGTATGTATAACTTCACAGACGTCCCTACATTTCCCCTACCTTTAGGTTTTTATTCTTTTACCTATACTTCTTTGGAAAAGAAAAGACAAGGAAAGGAAGGAGGAAATACATGGGAAATAGGGGATAGGGGAACCTATTTATTTATGGTCAGCTAGCGAGAAAGGGAATACGACCCGGTAGGAGGGCTTGTTATGCTAATGGCTAATCAAAAGAAATTCTCTTCGTAGCGGTACTGGGGTTGCAAATATGGAAGGCCCTAAGGATAAAGACGGAGATAAGTAGATGGATATTGTATCTGTTAGCCAGGCAAGCGTAAGGAGTAAACAAGGGAGCGAATTAGCGTGCGTTGTTGGTCCTAGAGCTGGCTGTTCTCGGGTATTGATATGATGGGATGGCTGGGGGTGTGTTGTATAATATTAAGGTGCATACATATAGGTATACGGGTATAGCAGCACATGTCTTGTTCTTCATGCTTGATGATGTTACTGTAGACGGTAATGTTTGGTATACGATAAACACTATATTGAGGTTAAGTCAAGCTTGGAACAGGAGAAAGATTAACTTTCCCTTGAGCTACCGAGATACCGTACGGCGCCGCACCTATTTTCTATGCTATTTCCAAGTGAAGCAAGTAGGCATTATAAGCGTATAGATATAGAGAGAAAGGGAAGGGAAGTGTAAAGTGTATCTACTAAACCCTTCTGACCCCCCTTAACCTCTCTCCCCCCCACCAGCCCCTATTAAAGAAAGGCTGCCAACTTCAAGAATAGGGGAACTTCACTACCACCCACTAACACCACATACTCAAAATTTACAGAAATTCGTTTCCGCGCTAATATCCACGACTATAGCATATGAGTAGTAACTACGAGCTAAATTCGACACATGACTATTGTAACAATCACAAAGTAGATCAGACAAAAATATTTGAACATTTCAACTTTTTTGAATTTGCCAAGCAGCTAGCAACAGATCAGATCAACTCGACCGCCTATCTATCCAAGCCGTGCTGTAGTACCCGCAAAAAACAGTGTGATCTCCCTCGAGGCCACCTACACTGCAGTATAGAACGCAGCGCGAAGACGGCTTGGCCTACGATACGGGCATGTGTCGAGGAACAAGCCTGAGCTCCTAGACGAGAAGAAAAAAAAGGGGGGGAACCTATGCGGCCCAAGGGCCGTGCACGCCTCGTGCCTTTTTCGAGGCGGTTGCTTATATGCCCAACGCGAACCGGTGATTGTTCCCAAAATGATGTGTCGCCTAATTGACATAATGCCGCCCGTAGTACCCCCCTAAACCAAAGCCCGCCGTCCCATAAATTCCAATTGTGAATGATTCCCCAGTAGTCCAACTCCCGTTGCCGTAAACTCCATCGCGTTAAACTCCTACGCTTATATATCCAATGTAACACCAAAGAACAGAAAATCCCAAGCCTCTTCGATCGAGGCGGACATAACTAAGACAGGCGGTTGCGTACCGACAGACGATGAGAAAGGATCGAAAATCAATAGCTGAAGTCGACATTACCCATACCCATTTGATTTATTATCTTATCCTCTTCCGATTGGCTGTCATTAGGGTTAGAATCTGTGGTGTGTATCGTCTGTACACTCTCGCTAGTAGTCGTCGTCGTTCTAGAGGCTTGTAATTCGTGTTCGGGTGGTGGGATACCGCTATCTGCAAATCCGGTGTCGCGTAACTGTTGGAAACTCCAGCTCGGTTCGAAATCTTTGCTCTTCCACGCGAAGGGGACACGCTCATACATCTCGTCGATCTGCTCCAAGCTAATTTTGCTCGTCTCATAAATCATACCGTATACAAAGATGGCGGCAAGCACGCAGAAAGCTCCCCACACGTAAAAGACTTTGGCCCCCAAGGCGGCATAACCATTCCCTTCTTCCACCATAAAGGGTGTACCGTAGGCGATGCCAAAATTTAATAACCAATTCGACGCCGTGGAAACCGACATAGACTTTGCGCGAATCTTGAGGGGATATATTTCTGATGTAACGACCCAGGTCACTGGACCCCACGAGGCGGCGTAGAAGAAAACAAATAAGGAGACGAAGACGATGAGAAGTTTGGCTACCAACGAGCTCTGCGAGTCACTAGCAACGGTAGAAAATATAGCGATGATAAGTTGGCATACGGCCATGCCTAGCGCGCCGACGATGAGTAATTTCCGACGGCCCCATGTTTCTACGACGAATAATCCGGGGAAAGTCGATACGACATTGATGACGTTCATGACGAGGGAGATTAGAAAAGGGTCCGAGACGCCAGCGGTAGTGAAAAACGTAGTTCCGTAATACATGATAAAGTTGATACCGGTAAGTTGCTGTAACATCTGAAGACAGCAACCAGTTAACGTCCGACGGCCAAGATGAGGTGTTCCGATAAAAAGGTCACGGTATGAGGCGGTTCCCAGTGCGAGTTCGTATTCGTGGTTCGCTTCGATCTCGGCGAGTTCTTCGACGAGGGCAGGATGTGTTATATCGAGACGGCGAAGACGACTAAGAGCGAGACCAGCGGCGTGCTTATTACCCTGTTTGATGAGGAATCGAGGGGTTTCGGGGAGGACGAGGAGGCCGAGACATAGTACGCAGGCCCATGTGAGCTGAAGACCCATGGGAATCCGATATGCAGGTGGACCGGCCATCTTTTGGGTGATGAGATTGACGATGGATGCCGCCAATAAACCGAACGTTATTGAAAGTTGATATGCGCAAACTAACGTACCACGAATCCATTTCGGGGCCATCTCGGATTGATATAAAGGGACGAGGACAGATACGGATCCAACACCAACACCAGCGAAGAACCTATATGACAATATTAGTAAGTCCAGCCCGAAGTAGTAATTAAAGGAGCCAGATATGAACATACCTGCCCGCTAACAGCATCGGAATAGCATCCGCGCAAACTTGAAATATAACGCCGAAAGAAAAGACGCAGACGGAGGCGATGATCGATATTCGACGGCCTATCCAATCACCAAGAGGGGCGGCGATGATGGCACCGGCGACGGTACCGGCACTTAAGATGGCGACGATGATGGAAATTTCAGAAGGGGAAAGGTCATAACTGCCGTCGTGGTCTCGGTAACCGGTGTTGAATTGACTCTTAAACGAACTCATCGCAAGAATACCATTTATCGTCCTTGAAAAAAAAAGTAATAAGTTAGCACAATCGCGCTGTCATTTCGACTTCCTCCGACGCATTGGAATCCAAACAGATTGAAGCGGAAGGGCCGTGTCGTGATGGTATGCTCACCCTGTATCGTATCCGAATAAGAGACCACCGGTCGCTACGAAGAGGCCAACCATAATTGCCGGGGCAGAAGAGCCGGCGACATTATCGGGTTTGTGCCAGCCCATGGCTATCGCCATGGTGACGGTGTTTCGACGTCAAACCGGCACTATTGATGATTATTGTATTGCTCGTAGTCGATGAAAGAGGTTGTGGGTTGAATTGTACAGTATCCCATTGATCGAGAGATACGTTTGGGGATAGGACACTGTAGGCGGGAATCGATAGGATGGATAGTGGGTAATAATAGAGTGCGAGTTGCAGGGTGGAGAAAAAAAAGGGCAGCGAGGGAAAAGGCGGGAGAGAAGAACCAGAGGGTCAGGATCAGCAAAGACGCTTTGGGGGGGGAAGAGAGACGCTGGGGAGCAATGGGAGGACGAGAAACAGCGTGCGAGGGCCAAGAAATCAACCCGTTTAATTGGTCCTGGGCCAGAGTGGGTGTGCTTAAGCGAGTCCAGAGACGGGGTTGCGATTCAACGACCCCCCCTAGAAAAGAGTTGCTGAACATTGAATTTGGATTTTCATCCTGGTCATCCAGAATTATAAGTTAGTTTGCTGCATGCTTACCAGTTAACTCGTGCAGCAAAGTGTCTTTGTATTTATTGTACCTAACATAGAATACCTTACCTACCTAGGTACCCAGGTAACAAAGAATAGATATGTCCCCCAACACCATTCGGGTTAGCAGCCAGTTGGAGGTTTCTATAAGTCGCTAAGATCTCTGAGCTGAACCAGTTTACTAGGTTAGGATGCTAGCCTGGCAACCGACTTTCTATCATACGACATCGAGAATACCGCTAGAATTGTCAGCCCGGCAATCAAGGACTACCGTAGTTAGGAACATGAGTGACGAGTCCCCTTTCCTTCTCATAGCTCATCTCGTCGCGGTATTCGTTCCGCGATGCATAATTATGAGGGCTGGTGAGTAGGGACAGGGTGACAAGATGTAACTTAGTGCCGATCCAGTCATATATTTTCTATCACCAGAGGGGAATAGAGAATCTCTATACGCTAGTCGGCAACATGAATATTACTTGCTCGCGTGGCCGCTAACTAACCCACGGAGCAATAGAGAAGAGAATATGCCACATGCCATAAGCAACTGGTTCCGGGGTCGCTTACGGTCTTCCCAGCTTTCAACTTAGTGGGTGGGTTGACAACAAGGGAGCTGAAGCCCTGCATAGAAGCCACGCACGCAGCATGCATTTTTGTCGACATGTATTCTGCAAGTAATAGCAATGACTTTCGAGTTTGTACTTGCAGCTATCCATGTCCGGACAGGTAGTCTGGACAACCAAATCTCGTCGCCAAGGGGACAAGACCATCCTCTATTGAAGCCTACTCGTATAGTTCCTAGGCGCCTAGGAATTGTTAGAGCTTGCAATAGATATTGTTGCACGCCAATATTTGCGGCCAAGTCCCTAGCTACCTAATGCAAGGTAGAAAAATAGATGGCTTCTGGGAAGGATTCACACTTGCTACGGCCGACCAGTCGATACCTTGCAAGGAACGCAGATTGATTTCCTGTTTTGTCCTTGCCTCAACATTTCGTAGAACGAGTGTAATAAATATGGCATCACGTATTATCTCGTTACACCTGAGCAGCCCGAAGGAAAGGTGAGGTAGGCAGACCAATGAACGGTGTCTTCAACCCGGTGATCCCCTAATCCATATTCTGGGCTGCAGAACTTGTCTTAGTTTTGAGTGTAACACAGCATGAAAGCGACGAGCTGTAAGACGTAAGTAGGGGGTGATCAGACTAGGTAATAAAAAAAAAAACTAAGAATAAGCGGCGCATACTTGCAATTGCCTAGCTGTCATGGGGTAAGCAGCTGGATGAAAGGATATCAGAAATGGCGGTGATTCCAACGATGCTCCATTAGGACTAGATGGCTTAGGTCAATGACCAGCGGTCGACGTGATGGGATTAGTTAGATGGAATTAGATGCCTCAATGTTGGTCCAGGGGGGTACCCTTGGCTTGCTTGGACGACGAGTCGTGAGTCGTGCTCGAATTACTATTCAGCCTTGAAAGAGCTAAGCTTGGTTGTTGGTGCGGAATAAAAAGGTCCAGCCAGCAGTAGCCGTAGATCACAAGAGGCCTTTGCGGGGAAGACCAGAAATGATTGCTAGAACCCCCAGGCGCTCCACGATGTGACGATGGCCCCCCCCCATGATTCCACGAAGAAGCAATAGCGGCGCAGGCGTGGAGACTCCACGCGAGTCCGGTGCCAAGATGATTCCTTTTTTGGATACACCCTGTTTTATCATTTTACATTAGGTAGTTTTGACTCTTGACTCTCGACTCTCGATTATGTTCATCCCGATTAGCAGTGCTGCTAGATTAAATTCTATGCATATGAAAAATCTTGGAAGAGAAAATAGATTCCGACAGTACATATAAGATGTACGTACCTCTTAACCCAAGAACATAAGGTTCTATTAAATTGAACGCTAACATTTGGCTATCACCTTCCCAAGTAATTGGTGTAAAATCAAAATACAAAGTCAAAAAGTATATAAGAAGCCGCATTATTATAGGATAGTACTTAAATATTTGTATATACCCCTACTCTAGTCAAGATTTGGAATATCCAGCTCGCCTTCTGCATTCAATGTGGATCCAAAAGGTACATAAATACATAATATACTTCGCTACCTTAGGTACATTAATGAATGCATCCATCATCAATTCGACTTCTCCAAAAACTTGACCCGATTCTCCGTCAATCGTTGCCAATTACATGTATCAAAGGGAAAAGCCCTTTTCTACGGGAAATATCGGCGTCACGGCCAGCTACATTGTATTTCTCCTGATCCCTAGGGAAATTCTGCAGCTTTCCAGAGTTTTTCCCTACTGCTGCTACCCGCGCGGATCTATCATTGATAGGTACCCTTACATCAATATCACCATTGAATGAAGCTACATATCTAAGTACAATCTATAATAATACAACATAGAGGTACCTATCAGCAAGAATTAATACTGTAATACTTGACCTAGCTACCTAGACGGTGGCCTCGTATCATGAGCGAGAATTAGTATAGTAACTTGTAATCTATTTTGTTGACCCTTCTCGCGTTTATCGGGCTGAGTTACGAATTCTACACAACACCAAATACCCGGGAATATGGTGCGCCGACGACGAGTCGGTCTTTACAATATATTACCTGTATTACACCACATGTCCTGAGCCTATTCCCCTAAGAGATCAGTGTCTAAATTGTCCCCGTTATGGACGCCTGCTGCTAGTTATCCAATCACAACGCCCCTTTTACGATCCTCGCCGCACAGGCACAGCCCAAATTATATTATCCCCAATCCTGTAACCAGCTAGCTACCTGTTTTGCCAACGTTTGCCCTTTTCCCTTGCCGCGAGATCAAGAGGGCCTGTGCGACCATCGATACCCAAGAGGGTAATAAGGCCTATTTGTAGTGCCTTTGTAGTGTATCACGCTCACTTATCACAGCCGGTTTTGCTATCCCTCGGTCCAGGTTGGGTTTGTTTCTTGTTTGCGCGGATAGCCGAAGCAAACGCGAGTACCAGTGAGTACCTACTTAGATAGGTCCATTTAGGTATTCGGAGAAGGGATTTTCTTTCCTGTAGGCTACGAAAGCAGGCTATCAAAATCCCCGCGAGGAGGGTTTGCTTCGCTCGTGATTCGTTGCTAAGGAAGGCGTTGTCACGGACAAGCCCGAGCCGCAGTACAGAATGATGACGAGACGCCGTCGAGAGCTGACGGCTGACTGGCCAAGCTTATCCGTGTCTTATACGAAAAGTTGCGCTCACGGCCGTAAAGTTCGGGTGGCCATATGAGATAAGACTCATCAAAGAAAATACTTCGGGTTTTGTCATGCTGGCTTTATGACGAGGGATATATTTTTGCCGTCAAAGTGTTAGAATGTTTCTACCTGCCCAGTCTAGGGTCGTATATTAACGTAAGGAGAGTGAAATAAGTATATTCATGCCCTGTGTTGTGTATCTAGCCGCCAGGGTCTTTATTGGCAAAGTATTTCTACCGAAAGACCCAACTGGATGTCACCGGTGTTGATGGAGTACGGCAATTACTGAGTTGCGCAATGTAGCCACCTACCAACGTTACCATAGTCCCCCATCCACGTTAAGTGAGGCTACGAGTTCGTAGAAACTTTAACTTAACCCTCTATCGTATAAGCGATGTATTGTGCGTAGTCCCCGGAAACTAGACTTCCTCGCTACATCTTTGACATGTCTAGGATGCGCGCGTAGGATCTTGTCGGATTCCATCTCATGTTGCCCTTCCTATACCCCCAGGTTCCAGACCAGAGGTGCTCTTGGTTTCACTGTACGTCACTGCGGGAGCGGATGTAAGTCCCTACCTAATTGCACAGAGTCCTGTAAACGCCCAATTGTTATTGGCCCAGGACGCGACCATCGTTTCGTCCGGAGAAAGTTGAAGCTTACTATGCCTGTGCCTCCTAGGACCAAGTTACCCTTCCCATTGGTATCTAGAGTCGCTAAGCTCTACGTAGTACCTTGGATAGAAGGTTTTAATATTTCATTTACGATAAATATTAACTTTGGCAGCCATGTTCAAACCCATCACGAAGTAGCAAGACGCATAAGCGCCCCCTGAGAATAGGGATGCCTGCTCTGCGTGCACGATACGGAGGTACGCCTGGTATATATGGCGTTCCACAGCTACGGAAATCTAGGCAGTACGAGAAAGATACTTAGGGCTTGCGTGCATTCGCTTTGATGATGTATATCTTCTCTCGTCTCGGAGGGGGGCTCTGAGCAGAGGCATCGCGAGTCCAGACACAGACCCCTTATTCTTACTAGACTATCCACGACAATATAGTCTAGGTGGGATTCAGAGCAACTTCATCAGCTTTTATTAGCTAGGATCCATCGAAGATGCCGCTCGGGTATAAGAGGAACCTATAGTTGCCTATATGCCTACGTGTTTTGGACAGTTACCTATCCGCCTACTCGAAGTGGATGAACAGTAGAAAAATAAAACCAACCGCTAGAGTATACGTGTTTGCTTATTCTAAAGTTCCTACACTGAATGTTGCAATGGGCTAACGGTCGTTAATC